TTTGCTAAAATATAAATTTTACGAAAAAATTTTTTGCATGCAAAGTTTGACTTTTTGTGTTTATAACGTAGTCCAGGATGAGTTTTTCACCCAAAAAATCCAAAAATCACAAGAAAGTGTTTCTTTTTGTAAACACGGTTATTATCTTTTGTTTCAATTGCTTAAATAAAAATAAATTTATAAAAAACAGGTCTTTTTTCTCAACCATCAAAATTTTCAAACTAAAATTTATCTAACCATATTCTAAAAGTTACACTTTTAGTATATAATTCCATGTGAAAATGTTATAATTAATTTTGAGGTCTAAAATCACCAAATGCAGTTAATCTGCGTGATAACTGCTAGTTACAATCTCGGTTTTCTTATGACAAAAAATCCTTTGTTAGTGTTTCAGTTGAAACACGAAATTTCGAAACAAAATTTTTTTTGTATTTTCAATTATGGAGAAAATCCTCGTCACATAATTTCATGGTATGGAAAAAATGCTTTGATACAATTTCATTTATGGAAAAAATGCTTAATTTGCTATTTTCATACACTTATTTTTGCTCTATGAAAGTGTATGATAAGCATTTTTTTTTTAAATGAAATTTGTATGATAAGCATTTTTTGTCAACCCTGATACAATGTACCATAACTAATCCTGTTTAAGAATGCAGCTTCTGCTCAATTTGTAGGGCGCAAATCACTAGCGGTTAAGTCCAAGTAAGATTTTCCATGATAACCATTAATCTCGGTCAGTGAAAACGAATTTCAGATAATGTTCAGACTTTTAATGAGGATTAATTTAAAATATTAGGCTCGGAAAACTAATACTTGAATTGTTTTAATACGTAAACTTACCAATTTTGAACGAATTTTGCCATGCTTTGGTCAAATAACCATAAATATAAGAAACGAACGATAAATTTTGAAGTTTGTGTTATTTTTCAAGTAAATTTAATCTTTTGTCGGCAATTTTCTGACCGATAGAAATAACAAAGAACGTTAAAATTTTCTAAAAGACATCTATTGGTAAATTTTTTCAAGTTCATCAAGCCTCACGCCAGCATGTTAAAAAAAACGACCGTTAACTTTTCGCATATCTTTAAATCAGAACAAAAAAGTCTTATCTTAAAGCTTTTTACCACCATTTTTGACATTCCCACATGGAACAAAAATGCGATATAATTTTTTTGCTACACAGATTTCCAAATAAATGCAGATCAAAAATAATGCGGATCAAAATGCAGTTCAAAGTTTCTTTTTATGAAAATAAGCTAACTCATTTTAATATTTATGCACTTACAAGTTTTGATTTATTCATAAGCAGTTATATCAGCTTACTAAGGCTCAACTAACCAAAGTGATAAATTAAGTGCAAATGTAGATTTAGCTAATGAAAAATGGGAGGTTCTTGAGTTTAAAACTATCTAAGTTATGTCTGAGAGCAAGTTGAGATGAACTACGCCTCATACTAAGTGACACCACATTTTTTTCAAAATGTTTATTTGGTGTCATGCTATCTCCATTCAGATTTAAGCAATGTAAAAGTTGACCTCATAAGAAACTTTTAAAGACTTTTAGAAAAAATAGCAAAAAAATTACTTGTTCACACAACACATTATAACATTATAACTATCTCACGCCTTCTGTATGAAATATCAGAGAAGCTGAAGTTAAGGAGCTGGAACAAAGCCTTGTTCGAAACCAGTATTCTGTTCAAAAAAATTTCATGTCGAATAATAATTAATTCGTGAAAAAAAGTGTACCAGCAAACTCTTAAAACACTGTGTGAATTGTCACGAAAAAATTCCCTTCCTCGAAGTATTCAAGTTTTATGGGAGATTTAATTCATCTGCCAAGTTTTCTTGAACAATTCTGCAAATTTGGTTTTCTCTTTTTATTTTGAAATAAAATAAAATTAAAATAAACAACACAATACTTGAGTTTCTGGTCTCAGATTTGTTCTTTGGAATTTTGATGAAATTGGCTTTCTCTTTTTTGTCCAAAAAACATTGCTCAACTTTGTAAGCTCCCCGGAGTCAGTGTCTTGCAAAAAATTGATTATGGTAGATTTTAGTTTTGATTCTTACGATTAATGTTTTTGATACGCGTAGACGAAAAAAAATCACTTTTATCAATAAAACTGGGTAATTTTTTACCCTTTGAGCATTGCGATGATTCGCTTGTCATAACTGATCGCATGAATAATTTTGGCATGGATGATTCTATTGGGTTTGGAAACCTGGTTTTTCAAAAATAAATTAAAAATTGTCAATTTTTTTTAGAAATAGTCAAAATGTTTGTAAAAGCTACATTTTTCAACAGTCAAAATCATAAGAACTCACGCAAACCTGCTTCGCTTGCATAAACGCGCGACGTTTTCGTTTGGAAACTCGATGATCGCAACATACCAGGTTTTGAGTTGCGATAGTTGCAAGATACCATTTTTGATTCGCGATGGTTGCATCCAATTTAAATGGCAATTATTGCGACATAGTTTGCAGACCTTGGCCCAAGTGTATATAACTGAGCCGAAACATATTGATGAGGTAGTTTTATGCTACAGATTTAAAATAAAAATTGATTATTTAAGCTGTAAAAACATAGCTGAAGCGAATTTGGAAGTAACATGAGGAGTAAAAAATTGTCGAGTTTCGAAAATGAACTATCATGCAATTGAGAGACAAGAATCAGTCAAAAATCAAATTAATCGAATGTCATTCTCATGCGTACTAATAAAATTTCATAGAGCATTTGTTTCTCCATTTTTCAGAATGCAAACAACCAAAAAAACTTTTAAAAAAATGCCGCAGCAAGCGTCGAAAAATAAGTTTACTTAATTTTACATACAAAACCAGACCGCAGGAACGAAAAAGAAACACCTTTAACTAACAAATGGATACATCAGGTACAATCAACGTTCATTGCAAATTGAAGCTGCTAATTATCTTAAGCATATTGATGGCGGGTAAATTTCAAGCTTTTAACTATTGCTCCAGGTACTCTTGAAATAAGGGTACTACTTCAATGATTCATTTAAAAAAATTCTACCAGATTTAAAATTCTCACAGCCTGTTTCTGAATTTTTTGAATTTTTTGGATTTCTTTTCTGTGTTTTTGACTTTCTTTTCCTGTTTTGATTGTCATCGTCCTCTGGATTTTTATTCTTTATCGGATTGCCTGACCTTGTAGAAAAGATTATTTTGCTTCACGTTTTGATTGGTCTAAGCTTCATCTCAAATTGATTAGCTTGTCACCTTCATTTGCGATGCTCGTTCTCGTTTTCAACTATTTGTGATAGTTGCTGGAATTTTGAAAAAGCGCTTTCCAAGTTCAACAAGAGCTGCCAAAAATTTGCAATGCGAGCAGATTTTGTTGCAGAACAGTTTTTAACCTATAATTTTCCATGCTATTTGGATCACTTGAATTATTACTTGACTAGTTCGAAGATTGTTGCTCCTAATCGAGTCTACAAGTCGTTATTGTGAGCTTGCCTATTTCCGAGGAATTATATTCGATATGTTCTCAAATTTAATTCTTTTATTTCACTACCTTATGATTAAAAAGATCTTGAATTGTTTGTCACTCACCTTTTTCTTAACGGAATCAAAATAATTTTTGTCGAACCGAATCGGTTCAATTCTTCTTTCCGCAGTCAAAAACATTCCTCGGCCGAACACGCTCGAAATAATTTTTGGCGGTCAAACAATTTCTTTTCAAAATTTTCATCACTCAGTTGATTAATTTTCCTGATCGAACGCAATCGAAACTTCATTGCTCGATCGAATTTGTTTTGTCGAATAACCTCAATTTTCTTGCTCAGTGCCTTCATACTTTTTTAAGAACTGTTAAAAATGCTCAAATTTTAATCATTTCTTTGAAACTACAAATTGAAGCTGCACAAGTCAAATGCAATCAACTAGAGGCCAGACTACTGGGTGAGAATTTTTGCAATGGTACTGAAACTGCTGGTATTTCGAATACAACCCAATACTGCGACATAGTTTGCGGGCCTCGGCCCGAGTAATTGTAACTGAGCCAAAACAAAATGATGCGGTAGTTTTATGCTAATTAATTTTTTTAAAGTAATTATTCGAGCAGTAAAAACAAAGCTGAAGCAAGTTTGGAAGTTTCAGGCAGTGTAAAAAATGTCGAACATCGAAAACCAACTATCTTGCAATAGACAGACAAGAATCAGTCAAAAGTCAAATTAACCACATGAAACTCTCATTCGTACTGAGAAAATTTCATCGAATATCTATTTCTCATTTTTGCAGAAGGCAAACAACCAAAAAAGAAAGAAATAAAAACGCCTAAAGCATCAAAAATGAGTTTACTTAATTGCTTATTCAAAACCAGACCACAGGATTGAAAAAAAAATTTAAAAAAAAGAAATGATGCATCAGGTACGTCCACTGCAACTTAACTTCCATTGCAAATTGTAATTGCTTAATGTTTAATAATTTTTTTTAAAAATGATTGTAGGGTAAATATAAAGCATTTAACTCTTGAACGTTTAATGATCCATTTGAAAAATTTTCAAGATTTTTAAATCCCACTGTCTGTTTTTAAAGCTTTGCTTATGATTTTTTTTCGATTTTTTTTTGAAAATTCAGTATCATAAACAACTTAACCTTCATTGCCAAATGAAACTGTGAATTAGTTTAAACAAGTTGATGGCGGGTAAGTATCAATCTTTTAACTATCATTCCAGATGCTCTTGAAATGAAGGTAATACTTCAATGGTTCATTTGAAAATGCTCCCAGATGCTCCTTTCACGGCCTGTTTCTGAATGTTTTGGACACTTCGTTTTCTGGATTTTTGTTATTTATCAGGTTGCCTGACCTTGTAGATAAGATTGTTTTGTCTCACGCTTTAATTGGCTGAAGCTTCGTTCCGAATGGATCAACTTGTCTCCTATAATTGTGTTGAACGCCTCTGATCAGAAAGCGTTATCACAGAAAATCATTGAGCAAAATTTCTTATTTATTGATTTTTTAATCCAAAAGCTTAACTCTTTTTCAACTTTCTGATTGCTTTAATTTGTATCAGGATTTTCTTCCGACTACTCGGGTTTGGATCTTGTTTGAGTTCGGCAAATAATTATTACGACCTGGTATAGGGTAGTTCGGTGGAACTTTCTCCAATTTTGTCGGCACGATTGATTGCTCTATTGTAATAAACTTAGTCAAGTTATCAATAGTTTCACTGTAAATGATATTATTTCGATACGAAGTAGATTCGAAAGAAACTCCGCCCCAAATTTTTTAGACCAAAGTTATACCTCGGAGGTTTTGTGTTCCAGTTGACTTATCAACCTTTGTTCGGCTTAACTCTCAGCATTCCGAATCCGCTAGATAGAAGTTTTGCATTTTTCTGATGAAATTTCTTTTTTCTTCAGCTTGAGGGTTCGTTAATTTTTTTTCTGAAAACATGCGGTACGCTTTTTTTTATCAAAAAATTCAAATCGGCGAATGCCTTTCGAAGACCCGTTGTATCATCGGAGGTCCAATCTCTCATTTTATCTTTTGATTTTATAGTATCAACTTAGTTTGAAAGTTTTAATGGAATTAACCCAGGGTTTGTTTTTTGTTGGTTATGTAGACAACGATCACCAGAATGATGTTTTTTGGAAAACCAAGGATGGTTCCTCTCTGTTTTTGTTGTAAACTTGAAGCTCAACGCAAACTTTTACGAAAAACGAAACCGTTTTCAAACTCATGTAGCTACAGATTAATGGAAAAAATTGTATCAATGCTGTTGAATTTTTCGCTTTAGTGTTCTAACTTTCAAGGAATGCAAAAATTATGTATCTCGGTTGGTTTTTCGATCTAGAAAAATTGGAAAAAGAATTTTTGGTCATTCGGGGGTCGATCACTGAATTTTTAATCCACGCCTGATGCGCGAACCAATATGAAAAAGCTAACGCGAGTCTTTCCAACCTGCCCGGTTTGTTGTTTGATGCTAGAGTGTACCCGTCTTAAAGTATCTCATTTTGGAAAATTATTCCAAACTGAATTCAAGCAAGCTAATGGGTCTCAAAAATTCCATACACAACAAAAATTTTATCTTTTAAATTTTGATATTATCATTTTAAAATCCATAGTTTGTAAATGCTTGAAATACCAAAAAATATTCAAGGCCAGTTAAAGGGTAGTCGTAAAAATCAGAGTTTGGCCCTGATACGAGCAGTCTTATTATTATGATCGTAAGTTTTGAGCAAATATTATTACGTTAAAATGCGAGTTGAGGTAAAGCAAAAACTGCACACAGTGTATTTTTCCAGACTATTCCGAAATTTAATTCGCTATTTTGATCGAAAATTGTATACCATCTGAAAGTAAATGAAGTCTTCAAGCTACAAGTCAGTTTTACTTGTGATCAGTTTTTGAAAAAATTATCGGGGTTTGAAAATTGACAGTTCGGCTAGCTTTGGCATAATTGACGCACGAGATAGTTACTGCAATTAACGTGGTTAATTAGGCAGCTCATAAGTTGTTACGATTGTTTGAGGCAAGATATTTGGTGTTCAGACACTTAAAGAATCATTTTGTACTTGGCATAGCGTATAGGTATACTGATGTTTTCAAAAACTGTCTCAGAGACGTTGCAGTCACAATATTCAGGTTTTTGTCCTGATCCAAGCAGTCTTGTTGTACCCGTCCGATGACTTCTTATCTTAGTAAACCTTCACTTTTATGTCAAAATTCCAATCATCCCATCATTCAAACCGATTCATTATGTTGTTTTTCTGTTCCCGCAAAAGATCAGGTGTTTAATAATCACTCAGGACATCATCCACCATGGGAGCATGAGAAAAAAGCCCAAAATTAAAATTAGAGTTTGTCAGCGTTTAGTGTAGACATCGAGCTTCATTTGATTCTAATAATAACTGCGTCTCAAAACTATGTTTCAGTGGTATTGTAAAAAAAGAAAAGTGAAACGAAATTTTAAGCTTAAGAGTTTTTAACTTCTGTATTGCTAAGCTTCAAAAAATTGCAAGTTCAATTTAAACCCTTTGTTCTTTGTTCTAGTTTTTTGTTCTGGTTGTCGTGCTTTTTTATAATTAGAACCCAGTTTTTGAATTTAAAATGACCTTTTTGCTTCTAGTGTAACAACCGACATAAGTTTTTGTTCACTTCAGTTACATCAATTTTGAGCCGGTTTAAAACCTATGCTAGTATACGTGTTAACAGAGAGAAAAAATTTATTGCGCACAAGTCATAAAGGTTCGAATATCTTTTTTAATTGGAGCTCAGGCCAATAACATCTTTCAGTGTGCATAAAAAAATTAGACGAAAAAAACTAACTTTGAGTGGACAAATAAAACACCCTTACCGCAAACACTTTATCAATTTTTTAAAATTACGAGGTTAAACTGTGCACTGGATAGGCGCACATTTTGTATCTATGTGCTCCTAAAAATCAGAGGCAAGTCATTAAACATGTTACAAAATGTAACTGGATTCCACTAACAAACTTCTTTGGAATCTGCGTACATTATCTATAACGTAAAAATTCTCAGCAAATTAGTTTTTTCGTGGTTTCCGCAACGAGCGAATATGAATAGTTAACACGTATTTCTCAAATGTAAAGTGATTCTGCAAATTGTAAGCTGATTCCCTATAAGTTTAGCGGATTTCAGAAAAATAAGTGGATTGCAGTTTTGTTTGTTATACCGAACTGAACCAGTCCTGGCGTAGACAAGTCAGATCTATAGCTAGAAACTTTGTCTAGCAATTTCGGACTACAAATCACGGATTTATTTATTGTTTGTGAAATCCATTAACGCGGATATAACCCTTTAATGTTTGGATTAAAAGAAAATTTTACCTCATTTTTTCTTTTTTATCAGTATTTGAGACCAGAAAGCTGTTCATTCTCTCAGTACTTGAGATCGGAAGAGGGTTCACTTTTTTAGTATTTGAGATCGAAAAACTTTTCTTACTATCAGTATTTGCGAACAGAAACATGTTCATTCTTACAGTACTACAGCTCGGAAATATGTTCGTTATTTCAGTACATAAAATTTAGCTGGTGAGTTCAAACTGTTGGCAGTAATTGAGATTAAACTGCTGGATAGTTTGGCTGATGAACCACAAAATTTGATTTAACTTTATAATAAACTACCAGTCGTAACTATTCATGTACTATTTCTACTTTTTTTACTACATCTGCTACATCTGTTTTTTTTTGTTTTTTACTTCATCTATTTTTTTTTGTGGAATCCACAAACTGTTCTGGATTCCGCAAATACCATGGCGGTCTCCGTAAACTAACCTTACTGGAGCAATTTTGAGTAAAGTGTTTTGCTATGTTTTTGTGGAACTGCAAGACAAACTCAAAGCGAAGTAGCAATGCTGTGGATTCCACGACAAATCTGATTTTGGCCTGTTACGGAACTGGCTTAGAATTCGCAAAAAGCAAAGTTTGTCCTCGTAATGTTGTACAAGAAGCTTTTATCATCCCGTGACAATTAATGCCTTGTTTTGTTGCAACTTTTTTTTCAAGACAGTGGTTGATTTTCAGGGCTATCATAAATTTATAAGTAAATAACAGCATAATTATTGTAGTAGCACCAACAAACATGAGATATAAACAACACTAGTTAGCGATTTAGTAAAAATTATGCTCTATTTTACTGTAATTGTTTACTCAAACTGTAAGTTTTTACTGTAATACGACCTCAAGTTTCTAGTTGTTTCAATCGATCTACTAAACTGTATTCTTACAATGAATTGTCTCCAAACTTTTGAAACTGTTTTGTTGTTCTGTTTTTTAAGATTCTTTAATTCTATGCCATAATTTTTTGTCAACAGTTAGTTGAAGTCTGTATTACTTGTCAAGTACGTGTGAATGCAGAAAAGATCTAACAACTTCAGACTATTTCTACTGACGCAACGAAAATGCTCTGAATCTGTCGTAGCGCAACAGTTACGTTTGAGAACCGCAATTATAACCCAGTGAATTCCTTCGCTCTCAAATCTTTTGACCAACTCATCTGCTACACTCGCCGCTGTGTTGTTTCTCCAAAACCCACACATTTCTTCATGAACACTATCCACTGAGTGTTTTGCTTTGACCTTTGACGATAGATTTTGATACTGACTTATCCTTTTTTTTTAAATAACCCTACTTAACAAATTGAATAATAGCAAAGCTGATGCACAGGGGTGAATTTAGACCCTCTCTCAAGAATTCGATTCCTTGATCTCCATAAGGTCTCCCTTACACTATTCTGTCATATCCAGCTAATAAAAACTGATTTCAAATGATAAAGGTTAACTGAAAAAACCATCCTTAAAAATGACAAAAAGCACAAGCAAAAATGTGCAAGACTAAAATCGAAAAAATTCGATAAAAATTGGGAAAAACGGATGTTTAAAAGCTAATTGCATGAATTTTTTTGTCGGAAAAAATATACATTATTAGTTTCTTCCAAAATTTGGCAACCAGATTGGGGAGGGTGGTCGACTGCCCCGTCCTCCTCTCAATTCTGGTTGCCAAATTTTTCCAAAAGGTCCCCCATGTGGTATATTTTTACGAGATCCATTTTTGGCCGGCTAACATCAAAATTTTTCTGAAAGCGCCTTCGGCGCCAATATAACTAAATTTGAGGGGAAAATTTTTTCGAAAAATAAGGTCATTGTGTTTTCGGAGAGCTCAGCAAAAAAAAATTGTCGACAAAATTTTTTAATCTTTAATCTTCCTAGGAAACCCACCACACCCCCCCCCCCCCTAGAAAAATTTCTGCGCACGCCTTTGCTTTCTTTCATCGCTTTATGGTACAGTTTTAATTAAACAGAAAATGTATGCACAAGTATTCACATTTTTGTGATTTTTTTGTTCACGCATTTATGTTTCGTATGAAACATCTCGGAAAATCTAAACAATGGGGAAAAATAATTATTGGTTTTCTCAACTTAGATTCTTAGATTTTCAAGTTTTAATTTTTATGTCAGTAGAAACAAAATATATCGTCTTCCCTTTTTGTCATCGGTGCAATGTCCTCTTCTTTTTATCATAGATAAAGGTCCAGTAGCCACCCCCATATCCCACATGCAATCCTTGTTGAAATTTTTCCACTGAAACGATTCTCCGAAACCCGTTCTGACTCTTACGTTCCAGTCTTTGCCTTTTGGCTGTCCAAAAACAACCCACCAATTTTCTGAATTTAGAGCACTCAGACTCTCGATTGTCTGCATGATAAGGTCTGATTCATTTTGTTTCCGTAGTTTGCTCATTTTGGTCAGACTAGTTTCTGCAATTTGTTTCCATTTGGCTGAAACACAATTTTTCATTCACTTTATATATATATAAAGCGATAGTGGGAAAAAAGTAATAAAATTCAAGGAAAAAGAAAAAACAACCATCATGTACTTTAATAAAACTTCAACTTTTGAAATTAGAAAAAAAACATATGCCCCCCAAAAAATTTTTGAATTTCAGGAAAAAATTGTGATATGCGTTTTTTTTGATAAAATTAACCCAATTTGAGAATTTTGGTTTAGTAGGTTAGTTTCAATTCCACTGGTAATTATGAACAAAAGATTTTCACTATTTATCACTGTGAACTATGAAAAATACACTTTCGAAACAAGGGGTTTTCCCTACTTTTTCACTTTCCTTGTAAAAACACTGAACCTAAAAAGGAATCAAAAACCTAAAAAGTTTAATTTTTTATTGCTATAGTTAAATTTTTTATTGCATCAATTTTCATTCACCAAAATTTATACCCTGCATTCTCAGATATCAGTACAGATATCATTATAGAAATCAAAACCTTAACATTATGAACGTTATTCAATTTCTGCTAATAGAATATAAAAAATTTTTGATTATCAGTTTTTTAAACTCTCTTTGAACCAACCGCTGGTACTGTTTTAAAAAGGAATAGTTGAATCAATTTCTTCCCATTGAGTTTGCAAAACAGAAATATTTGTCCAATCTTGCAATCACCAACCATTCTTCACCGCTATTACTGCTTGGAGCTGAGTTTATGCCCGCAAAGTATGTTGTGGCAGTTGAGCGGCTTGATTAGCTAGATATGGTTTAATATATTTGAATCTAAGTTCAGGAGTTCTTTCGATAATTCGCAGAAGTAAAAATTTATTCATCGTTACAAATTTTAGCTAATTTGTATATGAATAAAATGACATGCAATTGAAAACCGTTTTGTCAAAGTTCGACACATGTTTTATATACGGGAAAAAGGTTTTCGAAAACTGCTTTACACTCTAAATTGTAGAAATTGCTCGTCTTTTGACGATGCAGCAATCATTGTTTGATTTTTTTTCTTGAGATTTAGGTTAAAAAAAAAAACAAAACGGACCAGTACAATCACAATAAAAATGCCCAAAAGATTGACAATAATTTTGAGAGAATCAAAAAAATCAGACAAATTAATTATTTTAATCAATTTGAACATTTGATAGTCTTTCTCCCAAAACTATCATTTCCGCTTTTGGCTGCAAAAGAAATTTGTAAAACATTCTATTGTCAACCTTTTTTCACTAAGATCTGGGTACCATTATTGTTTAGCTGCACCCTGTGGTAAAATCAAGTCGAAAAACTAGAATATAGTGACTCTGAAATTCTTCTATAGGAAGAACTAGCAATATTTGGTTAAATTGCATTGCTTTCATTTTTTTAACAGAGGGGTGACAAGGAGAAGTTGTTTCTATTGAAATAATTGCAATTTCAACCAGAATTATTCTAATCTCTCTCAAATAAAATTGATGACAATTGAAAAACCCTACCTGAAAAACCCGCATCAGCTGAATTTTTATTCATTGCAACTGCTATTTTTCTTCTTGGAGCCTTATTGAAAATGAACTCATGTAAAAACTGGTTCCGACGAGTAGGAATTTTAAACTATCTGGCTATAGTTCCATGTAATTGAATTGAGTAGGTTTTCTTTCATGAGTAGGTACATTCACCCAAAGTAACCGATTATAAAACAAGTTCAAAACCACATTAAAATGGATTTTGTTTCCACTTTACTTTTGTTTTGCGTCGTGCAAAGTTTACTAGAGTTTCTGAATTTAAAAAATGAGTAGCGCGAAATCTTTGCAATTTGAGTGCACGACCTTCTCCAAATAAGGTGTGAAAGATTCTGCGGCCGAATTTCTGAACAAACGGGTGTAGCGGTCGTGATGTTATATTTTGCAACAGTGCGTTAAAGCTGGATTGTCACATCCTCTGTTATATTGTTCAAAAAAACAAATTTAGTTTAAAACGTGGAAAAGTCACATCCTCTGTTATATTCTGCAAAAATAACCAAGTTTAGTTTAAAACGTAGAAAAGGCTTTATGTGCATTGAAATTTGCATCTCAACAAAGTAGAGAAAAAATTATTATAGCTGTGTTTTATTGTCAGTGTCCACCTACGTGAAAAAAAAATGATTTTAATGAAATAAAAATGAATTTTGTAGCCCCGAAAAATCGTGATATTATAATCCATTTTTAATTGATTTTTTTTCCTTTTTCGTGGACACTGATAGTGAAGCTCAGTTATAATCAATGTTTTTTCATGGAACTCCAATGCGGGCACTAAGCTTACCTTTCTCAGAAGAAACGAAATTTTGTTGTTGTTTTTGTGTAGTATTTTGAACTGCCGCTCCCTGTTCCTGTAACAGAGTTTCCACAGCTTCCGAAGCTTTCGATTCCCACTTATCTCTTTCTAACTGCTGTTTCTTTTCAAGCTCGGCTCTCAGCTCGTTTTTTTCCTTCTCTAGTTTGATTCGTTTTTCAGAAATTTCAGTCTCTTGATCAGCGATTCGTTTGGAATGAGCATCCTCTATCTTTTGTTGCTGTTTTTTTAACTCTTCAACTTCTTGTAAAAGTTTTTCTTTATTTTGTTGGCTCTGCAGCTTTGCTTGCAACTGTTTCTGTTGGCTGTTTATTTTATCAAGTTTTTCTCCAAGTATTTTTTCCATGTTGTGACTTTGCTCATCAAACTTTTTTTGAAGCCTGTCGTGTTCGTCTTGCTTTTTTTCGAGATCTTCAATCATGTCTTTTTCTAATCTGTGCAATCTTGCTTCAAGAAGAGACTGACTTCGATCATTTTTCTCCGAGAGTCTTTGAATTTCCGCCAAATGTTTCTTTTCTTGATCTTCTCTCTGCTCTGTTTGCTCTGCTCTGATTTTTTCCAGATCTTGTCTGTGTTTTTCTTCAATTGATTTCATTTCTTTTCTCCTAAATTGAGTTTTTAAAAAAATTAACATTAAAAATCATGCAAAATTAGAAAACTTGGTTTTAAGAGTTAAGGCAAACGTCCTTTTCCTGGTTTGATACACTAAAGATGGCCATCGTTCAATCATTTAAAATCAGTCGAAAAAGTTTTTAACTAGAACTGATGAAAAGTCTATAAAAATGATGAAACACTGATCGTTCTCAATGTTCACAAAGGTTTCGAATTTTTAAAATTTTTCTTGTACCAAACTCGAGCGGTAATGAAAAAAGGGGAATCATTTCTAAGTCAACTCAATGACAATAATCTAGCATGATCCAGAATGCATTTTATGATTATCGTCCTATAAAACAACAATACGAATTCAAACTTTGCACTGGACAGGTACACAGTTTAAGGTGTGTAGATCACTGGAATCCTAACTGTAATTTATAAAGTATTTGGTTTTATTATTAAAATATGATGGGGGAGGTCCTGAAACATGCATAAACGTGCGTTTCAGGGCCTGAAACGCACGTTTATGCATGTTTCAGGACTTCCCCCATCATATTTTAATAATAAAAGTAATTTATAAAGTATTTGGTTTTATTATTAAAATATGATGGGGGAAGTCCTGAAACATGCATAAACGTGCGTTTCAGGCCCTGAAACGCACGTTTATGCATGTTACAGGACTTCCCCATCATATTTTAATAATAAAAGTAATTTATAAAGTATTTGGTTTTATAATTACTTTAAGTATTCTCTCAACACTTTAAGTATTCTCTCAGTTCTTCTCAACACGTTTTAAACTGCAAATTCCAATAACTTGTTAAAATTTTGTCTGCAAAAACGAATAAACCGCAAGTTTGGCCTCTTAGTGAAGTTGAACTTACATATTTTCGTTGTCCACCTGTCGCATTCTTTCTTTATCTGCCTTCTCTTTCTCCATGCGTTCGATGTAATTTTTCAGTTTTTTGTGCTCGCTTTCAACTTTCATCACGCTGTCAGTTAGCAACTTTGGCGAAATTTCCAAGAAACACCAAATAGTTTGTAACCCTTTTTCGAAAGCTTCGTTGTCTTCTGTCATCTCTGTGTTTCGACAAGCGTCAAAAATGAGGTACCGGAGTCCTTTACTTTTCGGGAATCTTTCGCCGACTATTTTAATATAATCTGCAGCTAATTGAGCGTCGGTACGTTTGTTCACACGCTCACGCTGTTCGACATTGTACGCATCCATCTTTAGTCTCGTAAAAACTATTACTGCCTGTTTCCAGAATTTCACTCCAAACATTTGTTCAAATATCTGCTACAGGGAATTTAAATTTTTACTATGAATAGAGTCTTATCAAAATTGTACCAATCAAACTACCATCACAAATATTAAAGCTAGAAAAATTTCGTTATACTTGGACAAGTTGACCTCGCAAAATATATATTAGGGTAACTTGGGCAAAAAAAAACAGCTTAAAGATAATAATTGTATAGTTTTGATCAGACTACTTCACGAAACAAAGCGAAAAAACTATGGCGTACGGTGTAACTTTTCCCAGCAATTTTAACTGCAAGCTGAAAAAATTGTAGAGTCTCTTTTGTGGTATAACAAGGTATGATATCATAAAAAATCCCTATTGGTTGTGATTCCGTTTCTCGAAAAATTACAAAGGACTTAGTGTGTATTTCGAGTTTAAAAATTGGTTTTAAACTTTTTTTCAGATTAATTTTTAATGCTTGAAATTTAAAATAAATTTTCCAATCTTATGATGGTACTTTATCAAGCTTTTGCTGTGTATCACCTATATTTTGTTAACTAATTCTGTCCCCTTTTCGATTTCTAGAAACTACTGAAACATTAGTGAGTATTGTTTTTTCGAGAAACCCAAATGCGAAAGAAACAAAAAGTAAGGCAAACAAGGATAGCTGCTCAGTAATTGGCCTCACAATAAAATAACAAACAAAATCGAGTTGAAAAAAAATCAAAAATTTCAAAATTCAAAATTCAATTTGATTTAAAAACAGAAAGCATGGAAAATTGATAAAACCGAGCAGTTTTTCTAGCTTTTTTATTTGTGAAACTACCCTATAGTTTATAATTAATCAAGACAATAATAAATCAGCGTAGATTTTTGTTTAAACAAAAACTTTCATAGTACTCAATTAATCCATTGTTACACTTAATTTTATTGATCGGATCCATTCTGAAAAATACGATTTGAGCCTTAATTTATGCTTGATATTTCCGTGATTGTAGTCCAAAATTAATTTCTTTGAAAACAACGAAATGCTTTTGGTTTTTGTTTGCGTAAACTAATTTTTTGATTGCTGAATTATAGAAGTTGTAGAGTTTATCAGTTGTTTTCTTGGGCAACATAAATAAACTTCGAGTGTTTGGACCCATTCAATTAAAATTAGGTATTCGGAACTTTTTGAAATATAATAAAAGGTTTTGATTGAAATTGAGAGAAAAATAATTTGATTCTTTTAGAACAGGGTCAAAGAAATTGAAAAAAATCAACATCTGAAAAAGAATAAATCATCAAACAAAATCAGTGGCAAATGAGCTTTTTAATGTGTGACCAAGGAGCTTAAAACTGTTTTCGCTGTTATTTCGGTTTGATTTTAGCTACCAGAGCAACTAGACTAAAACATTTGTAATTTTCACATATATTATACTTGGCGACGTTGAAGACGCAACAGCAAATTTCAAGAAACTCTTCCAAGGTGTATTTTTTGAAAGTTTGTAAAATAAATTGGCTTGCTCTGCTAAATCGCAAAAAAAGTTGTTGACTAACCTGGTAATAATTTTTTCAAATTTTTTTTGAGGTAAATTAACATTGACCAAACTGTTTTTCAAGTAAAGTTTTCGGTGTATAAATAAAAAAAAATGAACCATTTAAGCAATTCAGTTACCCGCACAACTCCAACCGTAATAAATGAAATTTTTTTGAAGTTTCGATTAGATAAAACAGTTTGTTTCCACCTGCCTTAGTTTAATGTGATTATTAGAAAAAAATATATACATAGGATTACATTGTCAAAAATATACTTTGAAAGGTATAACTATTATTCAGCAATTGAATAATTCATTATTGTTTTTCAGAAAAATAAGAACATCCATCAAGTTTATTCGTGCTCTGTTGCAACGCAAATGTTAGCGAGAATTTGATTGGACCAAAAGGTAACAACCACAAGCACAGTTGGGCAAGCGGACTAAGACAAAGTAACATAACGCCGATTATTTATGTGACACGACAGTTGACGTAGGTTCGAGTCCCCCAACTGACAATGTTTTAATATACTAAAGAAGGGGGTTATATCCTAATTTAACTGTTTTTTGTTTCTAATTCAGTTCAGCCTGATTAAGCCTGGCCGCCAAAAAGAGAAATTTGTCTCAAGGACATTACCGACCGGTTATTGTGGCTAGCTTGCGCCGATTTGTACCAAAACAAGCGGATGATTGAAGTTATACTATGTTTTGCTCGACCGAAATTATGATGAGTTTTTGCGGATAAATGCTCTCATTAATTTAAACTTCTTGAACCTTCATATTGTTAATTTACAGAGATTGAGCGCATATTTTGGGCACCCCACAAGGGAAAGTTTTTTGGTGTCCCTCCAGTACAGCACCCCTCCCACAAAAATTTGCCCGTTGCCCCCCCTACCCTCTTTTCGTTGCTATGAGATTGGCAGCTGGGGAATAAAAGGACAAACAAGAGGTTTGATTAACGTCTGCAATATAGTTTTCTGGCTGCTATCTGAATCATCCTTCCCAAAGAATTAGATTCCTGGCTATATACTACAACAGGAACTGCATTCTCGGGCATTTACATTCCTCGCAGTAGTATTCAGCTGCAGCAGCATTCTCGGGCAATTCAATTTCTGGCAGGGTTCACTAGCAGTGTTCTCGGTCCACTACTGCACCTGGGACGATCGGACGCCCCTCTCCAGCAATGTTCTCGGTCCACTACTGCACCTTGGACGATCAGACATCCCTCTCCAGCAGTATTCTCGGTTCACTACTGCACCTTTGACAGTCGGCCTTTCACAGCGCTTCTCAAGCAGTGTCAGTGGCCCACTCTATTCCCTCAGCAGAGCAATTGGATACGGAACCCATAACTGATTTCATGAATTTGTGTACGATTACTAGACGGTCTGTCGCTGCAACCAAACGAGGTGGTTCAAGAGTTTCTTGTCAACTACCAGCAAACCGGTGCCTCCAATCTCCCGAAAAACTGTAAGAAGGTTCCAAAACTTTTAAAACTTTCCACTTGTGCTATAAAATTTGATACGATGTCATACATGTTAAAACCTTTCCCGTAAGCTAGCACCCGGTACTTTTTCTCAATGTCCAAAAAATTTTGGACAGTTCCATTGAACTGAAATATTTAACAGTCGGTACATAAACAAACTGATTGACAATTTTTTCTCGATACCAACATTTTTTGGATATTTGTCAACAGAGTATTAATCTGTGAAATCAGAACATAGACAAGAGGTACTGGACTAGTTTTTTGGTTTGGTTTATGACTCGAATCTGCTGACCAGAATTTTCAGAAAAGTTTTATGAAAAAAGTAAAAAAAAATTGCAAAAAATCCCCAAAACGTCCCCAGAAATCTGCGAAACTGTGCTGTAAGATGACACCAACCTTATGTTAAGTGGTCTGGTAGTGAAATATTAGGAAAATTAAGTTGAGCTTTTTCATTCTCAGGTTTCTTCTGCGTGTGTTGTTGGAACTTAACCAATTTGCCTGATCCCCCACCCACCTTTGGTGAAACTGAAAGCCACTTCGCTCCAAGTAAATCAAAGATGTTTCTCCCGTCCGATTTTTGACTTCGTTGCGTGACAGTAATGTTGAGTGGTCAGGTACGGTGATATTAAGTGAGTTAATTTGAATTCTTTCATCCTCAGGTTTACTCCGTGTGTGTTGTTGGAGTTCAACCGAGCTACTTAATTTTCCATCCCCATTGGTACTTAAGCGTAACGTAGCCGTCGCATAGGTCCCCTAAGTGTATGTATTCATTCTAGGAGCTAGTTCCTCGGTTCACGCGCTCCGAAAACTTCCCGCTCCGTCCCAGAAGCGCGTCAAAAATACTTGCTTTACAAAGCCAGGTTTAAGTTTGAACTTTAACGCTAGGTACTCTCAGAAAACAATACAGTACTTCCTTCATCACTACTTGTCTCAACAAATGACCTTGTAATTTGGCACGACGCCAATATTAACTCAATAAGGTGGCAGCGCAGCAACAAAAAACGCAAGCTGAAAAGTGAGAAACTTGTCATTTTGTTATTAGGATATCGGACAAACATTTGTGCTATCGTATACTCTAGACGGAACGGAACCGAGGATATAGAAAAAAGTTTAGGTTCAACAGGTATTCTCGTTCTGAACTTCGTCAAAGACTTTATCTCTAAGCGTAACGCTTAGGACCAGGCAGTAAATGAGAAGAACAAAAGAGCTTCACCAGCCTGCTTCCCTTGAGTTAAAGAATCCCCTCCTTCTAAGACGTTATATCGCTAATCTTAATATCCTTAAGACGCGTAAGAAGCGGAACCGCCCAACACTTAAAGCTCGAAATAATAGGCTTCAGGCAGAAGCTTTGAGACGTCAGTTTCCCCATCTTGTAAACTATTATTGATATATTAATGCAAATTTAATTACGTACCAAAACAGTATCATTTTATTAATTGTTTTCTATTTGGTGAGCATCCGTAAAACATTGTCAGTTTGTGAAAAACTTGGACGAAAAATTCCAAAGTAACCTACGCAAGTTTTTTCAAATCCGTCTAAATGTAGAAAATGAGCTGCTTAAAGGTCACTCATTATTACTTGAGTACATTGAGTTTAAAAGTCGCACCACAAAAATTGACAATGCTGTTTACAAATTTAAAATTGCGTTGGAAAAATCTGTTGACGTAAATGAGCAATTAATTAGGTTAGCGGGAACAACGGAAAACCCTGAAAAACTTATTACTCAGCAATATCTTTGGCTTAAGAAAGTAACCGAAATAAACGATAAAGTAATGCGTGAAGCTCAGAGTTACAAGATGAGCCTTGAACCTTCGTCATTCCCAGCACCCATCATTACAGGAAGCAAGGGATCGTTATAACGAACTAGGTCTGAGACATCTTCACGCTCGCACAAAACAAGAGATTCAGAAGCACCAGTATCTGAAAACAGGTCTAAGGTCTCTTATAAGTCTAAGGATAGTAGAAACCTTGACTCACATAAGTCTGATAAATCTGCTTCTACTCTTCATACTTCGACTGTTCGCACTATGTCATGAAAAGAGAAACGGCATGAGTTAGC